GGTGTCTAAGAGAACTGGTGCTACGGGATCTACTAGTGGACTATGTGCCGATGAGATACTAAAGATGATTACGAAAATGATGTCGGATGCTATTGGGAAAGGTGAATGGGGATACCAGTGAGTGAGTAGATAGAGAATGGTGTGATAGTAACACTTAAACGTATGGTGATGAGTTATATTTATATTATACAGAATGTCGATTATGCAACTTGGAGCAGAGAGCTATGACATTGGCTCGGATAATGCGATCCTACAAGATTGGATTGATGTTGATACCTCATAAGACCTTACTAGCAGAGTTGTCTGGTATCATTAGACAAATTACTAGTAGGTTAGTCGTCTGGTTCGAGGAGTGGGTCGAAGCTCTTCTGACTGCTAATAGGATAGTGGAGGCATCTCAAGATATATATATATATATATATATATATATATATATATATATATATATATATATATATATATATATATAGATAGAGAGAGAGAGAGAGAGAAAGAAAGAAAGAAAGAGAGAGAGAGACATCGAGAGAAAGAGAGTGCTTAGTTTGGAGACATATCTGGGGAAGATTAAATAGGCGTATGGTCGACTCTGTCGAAAACTATCAAGAAGGTTTCATGATGTTGTGCCAAGAACCGAAGGTCAGAAGAACTATGAAATTTGTCGTAAGGGTGGAAGGACCCACGTGTTCGTGTGCTGCAAGTCTAAATGCGGTAGGTATATACGAAAAGGACACGCTCGTCAATATTGCATATTGGGGATGAGGATTTGTCACCCTTTCCATCATTGTGATCACATTGGGGCCTCAAGATGTTGCTAGTATGTTTCTTCTTGTTAGTGTTGTTATTACACCCTAATTACATATGTTCGGGAATGTATAGCCCGCCTTTTATCATTTATAGTGCGCCCGGGTTGGAAAGATGTACGAGTAGGTTGCATAGCCTTATAATTAGTTATTTGACTCTCTATTTGACCTTGTATCGTGCACAGGTGCTTAAACCAATTCCAACTTGGGAATAAGTTGCTCCTAAGACCGTTTACACTTAGCAGGAAGACGATGTTGTTTGGAAGTTTTGGAGCACCTTCAAAAGTTAGAGGTAACCGGTCGATTGAGATAAGATAGTGATGCATGGATTGTATATGACAAAGGAGATGGATCTCAAGGGCATGGTAGATGTGTAGTTTATTGTTGTTGCAAGCGGATATCAGTTCAAACCAAAGTGGGGGAGAACTGTTATTACAAGGTGACAGCTTAGACAGGGTACAACATGTCTAGGTGCAATGATTCAAATGTACTAGTAGCTTAATGGTGTTAGATATTTAGCACTCGTTATGGATATGGAAAATAGGACATTTGAGGATGTGTCGGTCGTATGTGATTTTGTAGGAGTTCTCCTTGAGAAGCTCTGATATCTTTTTGTGAAAAGAGAGTGATACTTAGCTCTGTATTATGCATAGTCACATAGAATTTGAACTATATGGTTCGTTAATTAGAGGCTTGATCAGTTAAGGGCAGCATCCAAGGTTCGTCGGATTCCTAGTATGGAAGAGTTACCCATCCATGGTAATAGTATAAGGACTACATAGACCTCAGTATAGTAGGGAAGATTTAAGACATGTTGTTGAAGGTTTTTGAAACTTTTAGTCTTTTACGGCGACACGTGTAGGGAAGAGAAAGAGAAGGCAACTTTCAGATATGAGTTATTCAACTCAAGAATGGTGTATTGTTATTGCCTATATGTATTCAAGAATGTTGTGTGTTCGTTCGTCTTTAGCGAGTGCAACTTTTTTGAGTAAGAGTTCATGGTGAGGATCTCCCTGCCAGTTCTTGTTAGATGATGTGACATCCCCAAAATCACGGCCAGAAAAGACCGATTTTTGTTTATGCTTTATAAAAATCAGAGTACTTCATTTTATAAAAAGGTTGCGGAATTTGTTCCCAGAAAAACATGGTAAATACGTTATTAAAACATTTTCGAAGAAACGTATTTATTTCATTTTAAAATGTTTGGGATGTCATCGTTAATACCGAAACATAAGCTTAGACAGAACTTACAATGATTTACACTAATGATCTACATCTCTTTTAAATCTCTCAGTGTAATGTCACTTCACTTCGTCACCTGTGATATACATAAACTGAGTGGGTCAGGTTGGGAAACCTGGTGAGTACACAGGGTTTTCAACCCACAATAATATAATTACTATGTTCAATCAAACAATCAACCCAATTACCCATCCCCATTATATTCTTTACTCTTTAAGGATTTAACCTAAGAGTCATCTATCCTGCATTCGTTTATTCCGAAGTCCCTTACCTCCAGGGTTATAGGACTGGCACTAAATCCATAGCTGCCAATGTTCGTTCATAAAGCACTAATTCCATAGCTGCTATGGTCTATTCATCAGGTACTAAATCCATAGCTACCAGTCTTTATCTAATAGGTACTAAGTCCATAGCTACCAATGTTCAACAGGTACTAAGTCCATAGCTACCAATTCCCAACAGGTACTAAATCCATAGCTACCAACGTTTAACAGGTACTAAGTCCATAGCTACCGGTGTTTGTCCCATAGGCACTAAGTCTATAGCTGCCAATGTATCATCTTCTATCTCTCATCATTCATCTACCCATCTCATACCCAACATATTCGTATATATAAAATACGTATACAGCTTAAATTCTTTAAAACATGTATAAAACGTTCATCAAGCATAGACAGCAAGTATTCAGATAATATGCACACATAGCACGTAGTTTATATAAAATACTTCATATCTATGTGTAAGATGAAAGGGACTATGCACTCACCTGAGAAGGTGGTGACTCGGTACTCGGACAGCGCTTCGACACCTAATATTATCACCACTAGATTTTAATCTAATATTACCGTCACTATTTATTAGTCTTATTATTATTATATAAGCGTTTAAACAATACTTTCCAACTACTATGTACAGACAGGGGCCAGACATAAAACACCGGAGGGCAGGACCATTTTGGCGTATAGCACTTCTGAAATCCAACAACCCTATGCGACCCTTTAAACCAGATTCTCCATACCGCGAGTAGTTAAAAATATATTATAATGACACTTATATAAGTCATAATAATGGCTCAAATATTTATTATAAATTTATAATAACAATACTAATTTTAAATATAAAGTATATTTAAAATAGGGTAAGCATAACTTACTTTCAAGGGGATTTTAGCTAGGAGTTGGGCTCTGCAGGGGCAGAACTTCGTCGCTGAATCTTTCTAAGAAAGATTCGTGCAGCACTTCAGCGCTCACCTTACTATACTAAAACTACAGAAAGAGAAGTCGAATCACGAGGGACCGAAATGCTCGGGGGATAAGGAGAGAAAGACTCTTGAATCAAGAGAATGGTGCAAGAAATATGATAGCCCAAGGCTCTTATTTATAGTAATTGAATTTTCAAAAACTACCCTCCATAATTACTTAATGACCTTTTAGTTATATAAACAACTAAACACCACTCTATAATACTATTTTAAATGGATTTAATGATATTTGTACTAAACTAATGTCGAAAGCACTCAACATTAGTCTTATAATGACCGCATCGTCGATACCTTTCTAATGATATATACATATGTATATATATGTGTACGTATACATGATTTATACTTTATTTTAATACGTAAATATGCTATTATAATTTGTAATTCGTTCATACGAACTCCGTTTTTGACGTTCTTTATATCCACGCGTAGGTGGAGACGTACTCTACAACTTTCGTTTAGACTCCGTCGGCTAATTTTGACTTTATTTTTAAAGTTATATTTTTAACAGGCCGGGACAGGATTGGTCCGTTAAAATATCATAACTTCTTTATCCGATGTCCATTTTCGTCTGTCTTTTTATCGTTACGCTACTAATAACGAGATCTAAAATTCGAATTTCGGGTTGTACACTGCTAATCCGAAACTTCGAAAAATCTTAACTTCTTCATACGAAGTCAGATTTGGGCGTTCTTTTTATCGATGTTCTTAGTTTAACATATTCTACGAATTTCGTTTAGAGCGCTAAGGCTAAATCTCTCTCTATCACAAATTTACTATTTACGCTTCCCGGCGCTGTGCCGGTTCCGACTCGAAACTTCGACGGGTCATAACTTCTTCGTTATAACTCGGATTTCGGTGTTCTTTATATGTACGGAAACCTTGTGACATATTCTACAACTTGGTTAAGATTATTTATTCTAAATAATCTTTTTGTCGAAAAGTTGTTTTTGACCCCTATTGCCTTTAAATTGACTAGCCCGGATCTGCGGGTGTTACAGATGAAGGCTTGAAGATTCGAGGCATGGTCTAAAAACCGGATAGATCTAGGTTCCTAGGGTTCAGTATTCCAATTTGTTCTTGTCTATTATTATTAGGGGATGTGGGATGATGGTTGGATTCCTTCAGGTTAATGGGATGATAATTTTTTCCTTTCTTGCACATTGAGTTGTTGGTTGTGAGCTAGATAGGTCGTTTAGGATGATATCAAAGCCGATGAGTGTTGTGAGTGGAGGGAATGGTAATAAAAAATCTACAAGTCTTTGGGAAGTAGCCACATTTCTATAGATCCATAATGATGGGTTGTGAGATTATAAGTAGTAGGTATTGTATGCGTGTTTAGACTAGTTAGTCTGATTGTTTAGTAACTGCTTGATTAGGTTATCTCTTTAAAAAAACTGCTTAATGAGGATACGATAATGCACGGTTCGGTGCAAGGTATGAGACCTTAGGTGCAAAGAGGAACAATGTAAGATTAGATTTGGGCTATGTTTCTACACATGGTTAAGGATTTAGATGACAATATACTCTACTATTACAGTAAAGTAAGGAGGTGTTTGTTTTTTGGTTGTAGATCTGCGAGAACATTTTTATCTGCGCCGCGCAGACCACGCGCAAACATATACCCTTGCAGCATGTTTGTTTTTTCAAAGTGCGCAGATCTAAAAACATCTGTGCGAGGCCTTTACCACACAGACATGGGCCAACCACTTATAAGGTCTGCAAACCCTTTTAACCTAAAAAAAACACGCCTTTTATTTTCTTTCTGTCGGCGCCTCCATCAAAACTTCTCACCCCCAAATCCTTCCACCATCGACGCATCTTTCCTCACTTCCATCATCCTCTTCACGTTCATCAACTCCGATCAGCACCGCCGCCCATTGTCACCCTCCTCTCTGATCGCAAGAGAACAATCTCCCATTAAAGCTAACAATTCCTCTACGCAGCAAACAAGTAAGAACACTTCTGATTCTGATGATTATTCTTGTTTTAGTACGAAATTAAAGAGTATTTTTCTTGAAAAACTCTTCATTTTACTGAAATTAGGTGATGTTTATGTAGCTTTTCTTTTTTTTCTTGCTGAAAATTCGAAAATAGTCATTCTTTTGTTTAATTTCTGTTAAATATTGCTGAAATACAATATTTGTTGATGTATGTTGCTGAAAAATCAAAATTTTGATGTTTATATGTTCTTTTTTGTTGAAATAATTTTGTTTAAGTGTTGTTTTGTTCTGAAATTGTAATATAATGATGATTATATGTTGTTTTTTTGCTGAAAATTTGAAATTTTGATGTTTATATGCTATTTTTTGCTGAAATAATGTTGTTGAAGTGTTGTTTTGTGCTGAAATTGTCATATAATGATGTTTATATGTTGTTTTTTTTGCTGAAAAATCAAAATGTTTATGTTTAGGTGCTATTTTTTTTGCTGAAATATTGTTGTTTAATTGTTGTCTTGTGCTTAAATTGTCATATAACTATGTTTATATGCTTTTTTTTTTTTTGCTGAAATTATGAAATAATGATGTTTATATGATTTTTTTTGCTGAAACTGTGAAATTATGATGTTTATTTGTGGTTTTGTTTGCTGAAAATGTGAAATTATGATGTATATGTGCTGTTTTTTTTGGTGAAAATGTTTTTTTATATGTTTATGAAATGAAATCAAGTTATTTGATTTACCTAAAGCTTTTATGATATATTGGTTATTAGAGATGGGAGAGAAACAACAATGGACCAATGAACATTTAAAATGTTTATTGGAAATTTGTGTTGAAGAAGTTGAGAATGTAGGAAGAAAATGATTAAGTTTGCACAAAGATTCATGGATAAGGCTTGGAAGAGTTCTTATGGAAAAATTTGGCATGGATTTGACTCAAAAACAAATGAAAAACGCATATGATAATCTGAAAGTCAAATATATAGGATGGCTATATTTGAAAAACAAAGCTGGCAATATATATAATTCTCAAACAAACACTTTTAACTTAACAACCGAGTAGCGGGATGATTTTAAGAAGGTACACACACACACTATTTTTTGTTAAACATTTATGTTTGAAGTTGCCAAATATTCTTATATTATTTTTTTGTTACATTTGGATTTAGGGGCATCCGAAGGCTGCTTCATTAAGAACAATTCCAATGCGTTTTCCAGATCTTTGTGCACATCTTTTTGATGGAAACAGTGTCACTGGTAATTTTAGGAGTTACTCAACCCAATCATCATCAGTAGTTGGAGCATCTTCTTTTCGTGTTCCACCACTTTAGATTACGGGCACCCCTTTTCTTGCAATAGATGATGATGGTGATGACACTTCCCATCATGCTAGTGAGCCTTTTCAAGAGTCGCCACCTTCTGCTTCTTCACCTTCTGCTTCTTCACCATATACTGCTTCACCCTCTGGTAACCCCAACAAAAGGGCTAAACACTCAACTCCTAGAGCCCCTAATGCCCACCTTCTGCTTCTTCACCTGATGGAACTTTTATTATTGTTGATGATTTAGCATTTGAAATGAAAAAAGCTCTACAAAGTTTGACTAAAGGGTATACAATTCCTCAATGTTTAGAGAAGTTAGAGGTGCCTGAGTTAGGCCCTACAAATCCTTTATGCTTTGTTGCATATCACATTATTAGAGGGACCATGAACATGAGAGAGATGTGGATGCATTTTCCCGATGTTCCCGAGATATTACAAGAATGGCTTGAGATGACAGGTACAAGTTTAGGAGTTTTAAAGGACGGAAAAATTGTCGTTTGATTTTTCTTGTGTTGAAACTATTTGTTAGGTCTTTTTGTTTTTGTTGGAACTATTTGTTGTTTTTTTGCTACTTGAAATATGATTAATGTAGTGTTATTTTGCTACTTGAAATATGTTTTATGTAGTGTTATTTTGCTACCTGAAATATGTTTTATGTAGTGTTATATTGCTACTTCAAATATGTTTTATGTAATGTTTTTTTTCTACTTGAAATATGATTAATGTAATGTTTTTTAAAGTTTTACTTTGTTGATTTTAGGTTCATAATGGATCACGATCAAAAGACACTTCTCGTAATTCTTATGTACTTGTACATCTGTTTTTTTTTTTTGGAAGAGAGGTGTGAAACGATTGAGGGATAATGATTCGTAAATGACGGGACATGAATACACATTAGAGTTATTGCATCGTAATCGTTTACAATGTGTTGAAGTACTACGCATGTCTCGTGACTCTTTTGTACGACTATATGCTCATTTTAGAGCAAATTACTCATTAAAGGATATAAAACATGTATCGGTTGAGGAAAAGATGACTATATTTTTTATGATGATCGACCATAATCAACATTAAGTGATTATCAAGAGAAGATTGCAACACTCGAAGCAAACAATTCATAAATTTTTTTATGGAGTGCTGGAAAAAATGATGCTTTTTGCACAAGACGTTATAGTACCAACTTCTTTTAATCTGAATCCAAACATTCCGGGACATAATGGGAGGTTAAGACGAGTTTTCAAAGGGAAGGTTGGTGCACTTGATGGCACTTTGATACATGTTGTCGTTCCTACTAAGAAACAAGGATTATATAGAAGTAGGGGAGAGGGAGATTGCTACCAAAACGTATTGGCAATTTGTGACTTTAATATGATTTTTACATTTGTTGTGGCTGGGTGGGAAGGTGTAGCGCATGACTCTAGAATATTATCAAAAGCAGTAGTCGATCCACAAGTATCATTCCCGTTTCCACCGCCAGGTAAGTTTTTGTTTTTTTTAATATTTTATCTTAGTTTGAAAATCGATTAGTGTTTTCCATTTTTTACAGACAAAGACGTGCATTGACCAATAAAGAAAAATTTAACCATGGACATGCAAAACTTCGGAATGTCATTGAGCGTGCTTTTGGTGTTTTAAGAGCACGCTTCCCTATATTGAAGAGGATGGCACCATTCCTATTTGTTACACAAAGAAACATTGTCGTGGCATGTTTCGCGCTTCATAATTTTATAAGGAGAGAAGGACTGAGTGATGAGTATTTCGCACGATACGATGAACCTAATGTCTCGTTTCGAAATAACAATGTGGTCATTGATGATGATGAAGACGAGATTTCAACACATGGTACTGCAGCAGACCGTGAATATATGACTCAGTTATGGAATGAAATTGTTGAGCAGTTGATGCACAATATAGATTCAATTGTTTTAAATGAAATTGTTATTTTAAAACCATTTTTTTATTGTATGAATAATTTAGTTGCATGAATTTTATTTTCAGCGTTGTATGACTATTATTATTAAAATTTTGGTGTTGAAAAGTCAATTTAAGTTTGTAAAATCATTTTATTTAAAATTCAGTTTATTTCAGCAGCCTGCAGACCTTAAAAAACAAACAGTCTTCTTATTGCAGACTGAAGACATTTGATCCACCTCTTCTGCTGCAGAGGCTTGCAAATGTGGTCCGCAGACTGCAGACATTTTGGATTCAGAAAAACAAACAACACCTAAGTGTAGTTACTGATTCTCTTAGTTACAAGTCGACTATTGAGCCACTTCAGGAGTTATGTCGGCAAATGAAAATGTTTACTCCTTTGTTGGAGTTGTTGTAGAAGGTACATGAAGTGGCATTGGAAGTCCAGAAAAGGCTGAGATTGTCCCTTGCTATGTACCAAAGGAGTCCATTTGCTTTTACTGCCATGAGAAAGGGCATTGGAGACGAAGTTTCCCTGTTTACCTGAGAGATCTAAGAGATGGGAGAGTCAAGACGTATGGATCTACTTCAGGTAAAATCCATTAACTAACTCTATAAGTTCCTATTTTTTGGTTCTTAATACATGATGTGATAAGATTACATTTTGATGTTTTGCAAGATCGAATAAAAGAAAGGAAACTTAAGGAAGAAGCGTGCTAAATCTGATCACAAAGAAATGGATTTTGATCGCATGGATTCAAAGATCATATTTTTTGAGCTGCTACTTTAGAGTAAGGGTAGAGCGCTAAGAAATATGTAATAGCATAGCTTTTTAGTTGAATTGCATTGTAAGGACAAGTTTTTCCGCAATAAAATAAATTTTGAGTTTTATCTTATTTATCCTTACAATGGCATGTATGAAAAATTGATGTTTGTGTATTTCTATTATTAGCAAAATGGATTTGATTCTTAATTAGGTTATTTGTGGAAGTGTCGAGAGTTTACCAAATTGGGAGAGTTTCTCATCGCCCAAGTTTCAAGTGGATAGAAACTTGGAATCATGCAACGTGTATTGTATGATGAATGAAAAACTTTCACATTTGGGAAATTAGACTAATTCCTTGACAGAGAGTCAAGTGAAGCGTTGGGGATCAGGTACACTTGGTTGTGTGCTGATCAAGTCTACCACAAAGAGAGATTGAGTATTTGTCATGATTTTCTAAAGTTTAGTAGATATGATTATACTTATAAGATTAAGTGTAATTCTGAGTTGATTGAAAACGTTTCAATAAATAGCAGAACAAATAAGAAGAATCTAGAAGGCAGAAAGATAAAAGTTTCTCTATTCTATGAAAAAAGGAGAGTAACTTTTATTGTGTTTTATGATAAGTCTTAATAATTAAGAACCATAACTCAATTGATCCTCTAAGTGAGTCTTAGTACATTTGTATGTCTAAGAAGAGGAATCGAGAATTATAGAAATGGTTAAATCAAGACGTCAATCATAATTCGTTTCAATATCGAGTCTTAGAGTCATACTCCATGATTGTGAATTGAGTAACACGTCTTTAGTAGGTTTATAACACTCAACAGTGTGGAATTGGAAAAAGTCTTCTTATTCCTACACATTTGAAATTGGTAAGTTGTGATGTATTGCAGAAGACAAAGACCAACAAGAACCAATTGAGCGAAGTGTTAGTCTTGATGGGATTTCGCACTAACTCTTGAATATTTGTTTTGTCAAGAAAAGTTCCTTGACAAGGAGAATCATATATGTTAAGAAGTCAGTGGGAGTCTCAATTGTCTTGAAAAGTTCAAGAGCTAATCAAGAATAAACCGATAGTTGATCACTAGCACACGACTTGAGGTTGACGGCCTATCGTGTTGACATAATTTTGTTTCTATGCCACTCCAGATTAAGTTAACTATGAAATATGAGTTCTATGAGTTCTCAATTGTATTGCATAATGGCAAGGCACCCTGATCAATGGAAAGTACATTGATAAGGTAAGGGTGAGTTGCTTAACAACTTGGAAGCAATGGTGGGCATTCGTGCCGCCATAAGGTGAGAAATCAAGATTGAACAAGTTCAACCATATGAGTTGGATTTATCACAAACATTGTCTTATGATTGTTGTTATGACAAATTCACATGGATAGGAACACATACACTTTAAAATCTAAGTGTCATAAGATTTATCTCCTTCATGAAAATGATTGTGAGGAAATGCTTTCACTAAGAGAGATTTTAAAGAGATAGCAGTTGTGTAAATTGTATTCTCAAATTTGATTATGATTACGGCATCCCTCTTCATAGTTCGAATTGTGAGATTTGACAATTAGTCTGAACATTTGGGACTTAGTAACATAAGTTCTGAATTTGTTTAGATACACATATGAGCTTTCTAAAGCAAAGGTGTATGAAGTTAAGAAGCTTAGATAAAGGCTTATCAAAGCATCAGGTATTAGAAATATGATCTTAAGGAATTCAATAAGCATTGTCTTCTGGAAGTTCCATTGTTTTCTGAATACATGTCAAAGCTAGTGGGAGCATAAGTGTTATGCCAATAAGAAAATAATCATCATGTTAGTGGGAGCATGATTATTATGGTAAGTATTGCAAGTTAGCAAAATTAATTATAGAAAACAAGAGTTATACTTTGCAAAGTCGCAAGGGTTGAAAAGTTGTTTTGCTATAATTAAGGTAGTATTGCAAGTTAGTGGGAGCATAAGTGTTATGTCAATAAGAAAATAATCATCATGTTAGTGGGAGCATGATTATTATGGTAAGTATTGCAAGTTAGCAAAATTAATTATAGAAAACAAGAGTTATACTTTGCAAAGTCGCAAGGGTTGAAAAGTTGTTTTTCTATAATTAAGGTAGAGAATATTATACTTTATTTCAAATCAAAAGGCTTAGATTGTGGACTTTTAATCAAATTTAGTCATATATATATATATAAATATATATATATATATATATATATATATATATATATATATATATATATATATATATGAATGTTGTGTTGGAATGGTTCAACATGAGGAAATTCTATATATGGGAAGGATAATTGCGTTCTCAAAACTTGGTTATGATTACGGAATCCCTTTTCATAATCAAAACTATGAGAACATGGAAATTAGAAATATTATAGCAAAAGATTGGTAAAGTATCACGTCTTTATGTAAGACATTATGAATCGTGTCTCATATGCTTCGGGTATAGGATCGATTGCATATGCTATAATGTTTGATCATTCTAAATTTTTTCCAAATGCTTAGCACATTAAGAGGGAAAAGGAACTAGAATGGGTTTTGACTAACATTATTAAACAACTATCAAAGGACGATCTAAGGTTCGCCAAGGATTTGTTGCTTGTGAGTAGTTAAAAGTATAGTGTTGGATGGACCATATCGACATTATTGTAAATAGATAAGATTCTATTAAGAATGAGTTTTCGTATGGAAAATATGGAAATGTTTCCATATTGGGAGATGGAAATTAAGAATTTTGTGCCTAGATTAGAAAATTTTATGCAAAAAAAGGATGTTCAAAGGAATGTGCATTGAGTGTGAGACATCACATC